AGGTTAGGGAGAAGGTTAGGGTTTGAGGTAGGGTTAGTGTATGGCTTTGATACTAACTTGGAATAAACGTAAGTGAAAAGGGATACTCAAATTAAGAGTAGAGTCCCGTATATATATCCAAAAATAATACAGAGTGACTTAAACATCCTTGTAGTTTAGGCAAAATATAAAAATCTTAGTAAGGGTAAAAAAGGGAAAAGAAATCCTAATAAACCTAGACTATCTATACTCCAACAAGTACAAACACATGTAAAATGCTCCTGATGGCTTTCATTTATGCTTGGTCTATTTGTTTGTCAGATTCCTTGGAACATATAGGAATAATATTCAAAATGGATTATTTTTGTCTACATTTTGGTATGAATGTTGTATTTTTAACATATTCTTCAGTGCTGCATTGTATTGTTCATTTGATGCAGTCATTCCTCAATCCTCACGATTAAAGGTTTAGGCAATTTCTGCTCACCATTTCTGCTTCTTGGAGTGGTTGTACAAAATAATCAGTGGATTCTTTATTTTCTACGTTCATCTTTCTTTGTGTCTGTTGTATTTTCCCTTCAAAAGCCAAATTGAGAAGGCTTATTTTGTTCCCAGTTGACTAAGGGTATTGGGAGGGGTGGACTGGGAGCATACCTAGCTTCCAGGCATTATTGAAAAATGAAATTCTTTTCTTACAAGGTCAATTTTTGTAGCTAAATTCCCAAAGATAGAAGACCAAGAAAATCATGTCACTAAATTGTCTCAGAATGCTGTCTAGTGCTCTCTCTCCGGGGGGAGGGAGGAAATATTTTCCATTATTATGGTCTATAATTGTTTATTTAGACACCTTTTGCTTTTATTTTTTCCCTCCCTTTTCCCTTTCTACTGCTCAAGTTAAGTAACTCAAGCTTTTATTGTTGTAAACTCACCTGCAGTTGTCAGACCTATGAAGGTGGCATTGCTGGCGAACCAGGTTCTGAAGCTCATGGTGGGTAGGTTTCATGCCATACAATTGTTATTGTTCATTAATGAGTTTTCAGTTTCTGTTTTTCTTCTTTACAGTAAATTATCAGGTAAGGTACTTTGGTTTAATATTTTGTTCTTTATGTGACACGCACGTATGGAAGGTTGTCAAAACATGTATCGGTAGGCATATCATTTTTCAAAAATAGTATATTGCATATTATAACATATTTTGTATCATAAGGTACTTGCAATCTTGTAAAAAATGTTAAAAAATACATATACCTATGAAAAAAAGGTCATAATAACATTTCTTGTAGCACAAAATTTTCAAATTTCAATTTAAAAAGACTACAAGGACCAAAACAAAAAATTAACAATCTAAGTATTCAAGTTTCTAACAAGATTCATCAATATCAAAATTTAGAGAGTTCCAGTTCTAACATCTAAAGAAGATGACACTTTTAACAATTAAACTATTTGTTCTTGTTATGAAACAAATAACAAANACAAAAAATTAACAATCTAAGTATTCAAGTTTCTAACAAGATTCATCAATATCAAAATTTAGAGAGTTCCAGTTCTAACATCTAAAGAAGATGACACTTTTAACAATTAAACTATTTGTTCTTGTTATGAAACAAATAACAAAAGAAGACTTTTATTTTTTAAAACCCTAGATAGTGAAACGACGTCATTTCATTTCATTTCCTAGTATTTCAAAAAATTAATCCCGTGTGAAAACGCATCGCTTTTTGGTTAAAATCCAAAAAAAAAAAAAAAATTGTTTTGATGTATTGGACACAACTCGTAAGGATCATCTCATATCTCGGGTATATTGTATCTTGTATTGCCTGATATAGTGCAAAATCAATACACTTAAGTGATACATATCGTTTTTGTCATGTATCAAAACATATCGTACGATATTAATAACTATGCATGTATACATGAATGGTCATATTGTAGTGAGTGAATTTTATCGGCATTGTCCTCCAGGAATCTGATTATTTCTTTGGCAGGTACACCTTTTGTGGGATGGCCACAATGATTCTTATCAATGAGGTTAATCGTTTGGACTTGCCTAGTTTAATTGTAAGTCGATCGTGATTCTTTTAAATGGGAATTCTGGATGAGGTTCTTTATCAGCTGTGGCTTCTAACTCCACCATGACAATTTCCTACCCTGAATTTTTTCTTTCGATTTTGTTTTTCTTTAAACAAAGTGGTGGTTCTCAGTTAGCCCTGCCTTGTCATGCAAAACACACCAAAGTTTCACCATATAATAAACTAAGTTAGGGAAGACTGAAAATCAATGGCTGGGAGTATCTACAACGAAATTTTGGTAAGAAGCGGCACAAGATGTTTGATGACCATGTTGACCCATTTGTTGTTGTTGGCAGAACTCTTTCAAGCTTGAACTTAGAAATGAAACTTACATAGAGAACAAGTAAATCTATTGTATTAGTATTTTAAGATATTATGAATTGTTTTGAGCATCGGTGGGTTTTGATATAGTGTGGATTTAGATTGGTTGAACAAGCCTTTTGGTAGTTGCCATTGTCCATTCTATCTTTCGAGTGATATTACTGTCTAAAGACAATAATAAGGGGATAAACTACCTTTTAATAAATGAAAGAATGGGAGTAATATATAATTTTGTTTGAGAAGTAGAACGTGAAGTAATTCATGGAGTACTAGTTATACTAATCACCTCCTACCTGTTTCTGACCTCACCTCAGGGTCCATGTTGCATTGGCTTCTATTAAAAGTTAGCGTTTCTTTCCGAGTTACTTAAACAATTCAACACTTGAGTTAGATACTCCCTTTAAGGGGGTTATCAAGAGAATAGCAACAGGTTGTGTTGAGTGTAATTTGTTGTAATTAACATTTTGATAGGAATCAGATTATATTTTGTTATATAGGCGCAGACGTAAGGATTAGGAGTTATTTGTCATTTTCTTTTTTAGGGACTTAGTTATCATTTTGACTATTTATTTATTTTAGGGTTTGTGCTCTCCTTATATATATAGGGGATATGGTATTTGTTTTAGGAGACTTTGATTATTATTGAATACTGATATTGCTTCCTTCTCAAAATTCTTTCTCTTTTCTCATCCTTTTCTTCTTCTCTTCTCATCCCTAATTCTTCCCTTCCTAGTCTACACCACATTTCCTTTGTTAATATCTCTGAGATTCTATGGTCTTTAATGGTTTTTTCATCATGTCAGGACTGGTTAGTATTCAGACAAGGAGGGGAGGGTGGGTTTCAAGGTAGAACAAATAAATTGGTTGATGGCTGCTACTCCTTTTGGCAGGTGATTTTACCAATCTATAAGCTGCATCTCATTGATTTTCTTTAAAGTTTTTAATGGATAATAGATGTACAAGTGACCAGGGAGGAGTGTCTGCATTGATACAAAGACTACATTCGATTGTTGATGAACAACTGGGGTTATCAGATGGTTTAGGAGACTGCTGTTCAGATAGCATCGATAGTGATGAAACATCTGGTTTATTTGATGGGGAACAGTGTCTGGAAGGCCTGTCATCTCATGTTGATGACGCTAGTCATCATTGCCCAGAAGGTATACCAACTTAGAAAAGTAGGGATGCTTTTGTATTTGTGTCCTCTAATTTGATCAATCTTATTACTCTTATTATTTTGTTGCTATCTGCTTTTGTTTATTAATTTTCTTTTCTTGAGCTTCAATTTTCATTCCTCATGATGTTAACATCACTTGTTTTGTTTTCTGTTCCTACTACTCTCCTTCAGGGCAACAGAATGCTTCTGATCTGAGAAATCCTTCGAGTAATGGTTATAATTTTATCAGAGGGCGTGCAAATATGAAACCTCTATTTAACAGCATGAACTTGCAGCAATATCTCCTTCTGTGCTCTCAGGTACTGTTAGATTCAATATATTTCAGTCACTTGATCTAATATTAGTTATCTTTGTCTGGTATTCCTGATGTCTGCCCGAGGGTGGGACAGTATTATCAAGATCTGCCTCACAAAAAAGGGAGAAAGGGAGGGAGAGAGCTGGGCAGAAGCATTGGTCTTGTTGGATAATTTATTTGATCCCCCATTTTTGTCACTTTAATGACCCATGTGTGCCAGGCAATGTAGGTTGTGTGGTCTTGGGATGTGGGTGAGTAAATGAAGCTAGTCTTTGACACCTGATTTCTGTTTTTGAACTTAAATCTCTTTTCCGTTGACTGAACCCAATGGACAGGCTCAACCTCATCGAGCATTAAATTGAGGGGTATTTCATATTAAGTGAAAGAATATGACAAGAAGATTTGAAAGGAAATGCGTTTTTAGGAAGTATAATTTTGGATGTTTGGATTGGGAGGATTGTTAAAATTGAGTTGGTATTGCATTTATTAGAATCCTTTGTTGAATTCTTGCTTGGAATTAATATATACCCTCCAAAACTTTCCTTCATAAAATCTGTAATTGACCGACTCACATCCTCCCCTTTTTCTTCGAAGAATGTATTTGATCCCAAAACTTGAAGATGGGGTGTAGTTGTAGTATAAAATCGTCAGCTTTCCCTTTCCTTTTCAAGTTTGCTTTTCCAGTAGGCAAAGTGCTTGCAATTCAGTAATACCAACATTCGACTTGTACACCACTGTCTTATAGGGTGAAATTTCCACATAGGTTGAGGCCTCCTCTAGTGCTGTGTCGTCTTCTTTCTCACCAGGTTCAGATTCTGATATGCTGGNACTTGTACACCACTGTCTTATAGGGTGAAATTTCCACATAGGTTGAGGCCTCCTCTCGTGCTGTGTCGTCTTCTTTCTCACCAGGTTCAGATTCTGATATGCTGGTTGTGGATGCAGGTGGAAGGAGGGTTCAGAGACAAACCTGGGAAGAACAAAGACCACTATCACACCTGTTATTGTCTAAGTGGCCTATCAGTTAGTCAGTATAGCTGGTCAGAAGATGTCGATTCTCCACCGTTGTCCTGGGCAGTAATGGGGCCCTATTCCAATCTGTTGGAACCTGTCCATCCGCTCTATAACATTGTCTTATCGCGTTACTACGAAGCACACGAATTCTTCCTAGATCATAGGCATATTTCCCATGCCGAAGTTAGCAGTGGAACATATGTTTCTTGTACCATGTAGCTAGTATTTTGTTACTTTCAAACTTTATTATTTGACCAAATTTCCTTTAGTGGTGGTTGGAATTATAGGGTTTGACTACTGCTTGTGTACCACTCATCAGTTGTTTGATTATTTATACTGCTTTTTGGGTAAGAGTTTTTCAGTTTTCAAGGTGAACACATTTTCTCGGGAGGAGGTTATTATTTTTTGGGATAACATTTACGGGGAATTTTACATTGCACCACAAAAGATTTAGAAATTTTTATTTTGCACCTTTAAAAATTATATTTTTTATATTACATTTTCAATGTATTAAAATATTATAATATAATATTTTTGTTAGTTTTTATTGCTTATTTTGTTCACCTCAATGAGGTGGTGTTTTAGGCAGTGGTTTTTTAGGTAATTGCTACTTAAAATTAACTAATTATCAAAGGTACGATTAACATTTTGCAAGTCCATTACAATAATTAGGCATGGGCGCCGAGCAACAGTAAGCCTGGCTGGCGTTTTCTTGTTAGTTGCTGGAAGACACCCGTGCGTGCACCTCTACCACTGAGTGAGCGAGTAGAAGTCAGTCTTCGAAATCGGCCCTTGACGCGTTTCTGGATCTAAGAAAGAATGTCCACTGTTAAAAAGAAGATAAATTATACTTATATCTCTTGAATTATGATACACAGAAGTGTTTATGCAAAAATCAAGTAGAGGATTTAACAGAGCAAATACATTCCACTGGGAATGGTTACGATAGTCGGAGATTCTTATTATTTAAGAGATGTGTGTTGAGATATGTGTGATGTTTTCTATGTATAGGTGAGATTTGCGATTTATGGGATTGAGTTTTTAAAGGCGATAGGCTTAGTCTTTGACTTGTATTTTTGATCTAGGTCTGATCAATAATTTTAAGTTAGGCTTGGTCCAGCTTGTTAGTATCTTTCATTTCAACTTGTGCTATAAATTATTCATTTTTTAAAATTATATTATAACATAAATCAGAACAAAAATAGAATCGTACAATGTTAGAATATGTGGCATTTTTCTCCTTGGTGAAACAAAATTTCATTTTTACTTACATTTACCATGAAAAATGAGAAATTGATTAGCTTAGAGGGCAATGTGAAATACGAAGTAAAGTTGTGGGGGGATCAAAAACGTAATTTGATCTAAGAAAAACCATCCCTGTCGATATCAATTCTTGGCAATCTTTTACAACCTTCTCACCTCCAAATTTCCACTGGGATCGCTTAATCTTCAAGCAAACTCTACGATCGTTTGTAGTGCGGAGACCCGCAAGGAAAATGGACAACGACGACAAGAAGACTATCTCAGATGCCCCAACACAAGCTTCGGCGACCCATTCCGGCTCCAATAATCCTCTAGACCGGAAACTGTCGTCAGTACCGGAAAAGTCTCCGGAGTATTCACCGGCTCGATCATCTGTTTCTTCCGATCAATCATCTCTTAGTCATGTATTATCCCCGACTGAAGAGAAGTTCCAGACGTATACGCCTGAGAATCCGCCTGGACAGGTGCCGGAGAGGTCTCCGTCGCCGGTGGCTATGGTGAATAGGTATGTTCGGGAAGAGCCCGCGGTGGTGACGAAGGCGGATCTAGGTACCGTAGCAGTGGAAGCTGGTGGTGGTGGTGGTGGTTGGAGTGGGAGGAAATTGAGGCCGCCGCTGTCGACTTTGAGGAGAACGAAGAGAGATAGAGTGTTGAAAACGACTGCTTTAGGGTTTAGGGTTTGTGGATTTTTGTTCTGTTTGATTTCGTTCTCCGTAATGGTCGCTGACAAGAATCAGGGTTGGGCTGTTGATTCTTTCGACCGCTACAAGGAGTTCAGGTCTCTCTCTCTCTCTCTCTCTCTGTCTCACACACACACACACACACACACACAATTCAATATCCGTATATGTGAGAATCAGAAGTGTGTAAAAGCATGTTGAAACTGACGGTTTGATTTTGGGGGATGGGCAGGTACTGTATGTCGGTGAACGTGATAGGGTTTGTGTATTCAGGAGCTCAAGCATTCGATCTGGCCGTCAATTTAGCCACCGGAAAATCATTTGTTCGGCACCAATTCCGATATTACTTTGATTTCGCCATTGATCAGGTAGGTCATTCTTCGTATTAGACTAACATTAATTAATTTCCTTCAAAAAAAACAAAAAAAATGTTTAATTAGTTGCTGTTGCTTCATTATTCGGAGATAATCTTCGATAGGTGGTGATACTTTTTTTGGTGACTCTAAGAGGAAGTTCTAGCGGTAACAGAAACGAGCATCTCCTAAGTTCAAATCTTTTAAGTCAGGTCATGAGCATTTTACGTCATACTACGTCTAAGGTAGAGTTTCAATTCAAAAATACTTTTCTTGATTGAGTTCCAATTCAAATAATTGGATTGGTTTTTGTGATGGAAATTATTTGATGTCCGATCATAATAGGGATTCAGGAGGCTTATCCAATTATTTATGAATTTGAAGATTTTTTTTTATGGCACGACCTAACTAGGCCATTGATGGATTACACTTTACGCAAATTGTTTCTGGGTCTTATTACTTTTCCATGTTCTGGGGCCATATGAGAGTAATATCATGGGGACCACGCATATAAAATTTATGCTGATGGTCCATTCCATTCTGATAAGGTGAATAACAAGACATACCCTTCAACTTTTACCTTTTTATTTTTATTTTGTTTTAATTTTAATTTTAACTTGAAACTTCCATAATCATAGAATTAATCATTTCCGTCCAATTCACTAGGTAAAACTGATAGAAAAGTCCATTGGGTGGGAACATGTGACATTAGTATATAGACCTTTTTTCATTAGTTTTGTATTAAAGAGGGAATTGGATCGAGGTGATAGTTTATGTTATTGAACCTTATCATGATGGACCATCCACTTCTCAGGTTGTTCTATTTTGCTTTTGGCTTTTCAATGGAGAAGAAACTGCCTGTTTCTAAAGCAAAGAATTTGGAGTGACAGCAAAATAGTTGGGTTGTCTGAAATTTTGTACTCAAATATGTTTCACAACCTTGAACTAAAACAGATTTACGTAGGGGGTTGATATTTTTAAACCATAATTGGAGCAGCAGGTTTAAGACACTATTCTTACAAATAATCTTTGAAACTCAGCTGTTTCTCATTTCTTTTACATTTGTACCATGCATCATTATAACCTGTGTATGTTGCTGGAATGATTGTTAGTGTTTCGTCTGCTAACAAACACAAGCTGGCTGCAGGTTGTCTAGTTTAGTAACATAACCCCCTCATCTGATTTGGTTTACAAATCCTGAAGAGTTATGTGACAATTTTTTGAATGAGAGGGTTGAAGTGCAGTGTCGCTTTTCTGATAGGTTAGTTTACTAATTGGTGTTTTGTCAAAAAAAGGAGGAAAAGATAATATGAAGGCTAGTAAGAGGAAAAATCACAATCTAAGGTGCTATTGCACTTCCATTCTCATTAGTCATGGATTTCAATCAGACCTGAAAGTTGCATTAATAGACTAGAACTGAGCAGATGACTTGAGCCTGACTAATGTAATAAAACCATCTCCTTCAGTGTCCATGGTGTATAGAGGTGTAACTTAGGCAGGCCAACCCCGAGTTCAACCCGAAAAAAATGGAGCTTTGGTTGAGGTTTTAAAATTTTGGGTTGGGCCCGTGGTCAAAAACTCTATCCCGAATTGAATTTGGACAACACAACATGCAGGCTGAGGCCTCGGATTATTGGATTCAACCCGAACCCGACAAATTATATATATTAAGAACCAGCCAGTAGCCACTAGAGTTCCCAATTAGATGTCATCTTTCGTTCTCTGCCTCTCTCCATCTCTTAGCCTCCCTCTCAGTCTCCCTCTCACTATCTGCAAAGACCACATCATCGAAGACCACGACTTAGAGGACCTCTCTCAGATCTGCGCCTCTCAGCGAAGGATATCACTGACCAGGTGGTGGCAGTGTGAAGTGGCTGTGGTTGTGGTGGCAGTGTGAAGTGGCCTGCGGTTGTGGTTGTGGTTGTGGTTGTGGTGGCAGTGTGAAGTGGCTGTGGTGTGGTGGCAGTGGGCAGTGACTCTGGTGATGGTGGCTATGGCTACGGTATCTTGGACCTTTTGGTTTAATTTGATAATTTCTTTGTATTGTGTTTTTGTGTAATTTGTAACTCGAATTCAACCCGAATTTTAACCTGAAATTAGTCTGAATTAAAAAACCTGAATTCAACCCAAGCCCGTCTCAATTCAGCTTGGGCAATACTCGGGTTGAATACCTTGAGTTTAAGTTGGGTTCGAGTTGAAAATTATGGACATAGAATTGACCTTCCAACTTGCCCGAGTTGCACCTCTACTTTGGACATGAGGATGGGCCTCATCCCAAAGACTCGATTTTCCCTTTTTTTTTTGTTGTGCTGGTATACTAAGGTGACTTCTATGGTTTTCTTTTTTGTAATGGCAGCTGCTGGCCTATCTTCTGATATCGGCATCATCATCAGCTGCCACTAGAGTTGAAGACTGGGAGTCCAACTGGGGCAAAGACAAGTTTCCAGAAATGGCGACCGCATCTGTTGCACTGTCATACGCGGCTTTTGTGGCCTTAGCCTTGAGCTCTCTCGTCTCAGGATATTCCCTCTACATTTTCAAATCCACATAATATAAAACCATTTTCGGGTTCTATTTACTCTGGTGTTAACCAGTCATGTATGAAAGGAAATGTAATGTTATACAAATTGCATAATTTTTGTGTGGATATATATAGTGCCTGGGGCTGATGTTTATATTGATGTCGTCTACTTGTATACAAATATACTACTTTTGGGTTACCCGGAATAAAAATTGGTTGAGTTGGCGACATGGGAAATTTTAGACAGCAAGCAGTGAAGGAGTGGCCTTTTAAGGATGAAGATGATCAATTTCTGAGATTCATTTGCCGATTGATGTCAAGTTCAAGAGAGCTAAAATATGAGTTGACGAGGGAATTGTCGCCTGGTTATTCATGGGTTTTTTTTTTTTTTTTTGGGGGGGGGGGAAGGGGAAGTAAACATTGTATTGATATGCTATGCAAATTTACAAGCTAAAGGCTGTTACAAAAATTACAGCACCAAGCAGGGTGCTCAAAAAAAAAAAAAAAAAAGCGAAAGAGTCAAGGAACATTGATTTCTTGGCTAGTGCTACTATAGATTGAGTTCATACAATGTACAAGAGAGGTAACTTCCAAACATCGACAACTCAGCTAGGAGAGGAAAGATGCCACATTTGAAGTATGGTATAATTTTGGGTTAATCTCATTTTACACTCTGAAAGATCGTTCTAATTTCAATTTACATTCCCAAAGATTAAAAATCTCAATTTACACCCTCAAAAATAGAAAATTGTATCAATGTACACCCCCAAAGATAAAAAATCTCAATTTGCACCGTCAAAGATAGAAATTTGTATCAATGTACACCCCCAAAGATCAAAAATCTCAATTTGTACCCTCAAAGATAGAAATTTGTATTAATGTGCACCTAAAACTAAATTGATAAATTATACCTAGATCCCCTCATGTTTGTCACTTAATCATTTGAACCCCTTCACATTTAGAATATTACCCCTACATCTCATGACGTTTGTACATGTGTAAACATAACCACTTTTCGTTGATATCTATTAATATAATCGTTAAAAAATA